GGATGTGCCCTGGCGCCGCCCGGCGCCCTGACTCTGACGGACCAAGGTGTGGCGGTCCAGCCTCGCCCTAGTTTCCTCTCTGTATTTTGTTTTTCTCGTCGCCGGGCAGCGCCCGGCCACGCCAGACCGCGCCAGGCAGCGTCTGCCAATCCGTCCCCGCCGTCGGGCCGCCACACGACTAATTACTTCACCGTTTGTTTCGATATCGTAGAAAGCGGAGGGGGGGGAGGGGGTGGACGGGAGAAGGAGCTCTGATTGACTGGAACGGATGGCTCCAGGCCTCGCTCCAGGCCGGGGCGCTGCAGGTGCGTCGTGACACGCGAAGCTCAATCTAATCTATCTGCCGGTGGTCCTATGGAAGGTCCTGGAGGGTCCTGGAGAATCCTGGAGGGCCCTGGAGGGTCCTGGAGGGTCCTGGAGAATCCTGGAGGGTCCTGGAGGGTCCTGCCTGGAGTCGGCACAGCGGCTGCAACCGGGTGCAGTCTAGATGTATAAATAATGTACTCGCCTTATTCTTTGCCTGAGTCAGCGGCGCGCGCGCATGTGTCTGTGTCTGTGTGTGTGTCGCCAGCACTGCGCTCGCAGGACGTAGATGGAGAGGCTGCCGTTCCTGCCCCGCAGTCGGGGCGGCCACCGCTCGACCTCCGACCCCCAGTCAGTCCCCCAGTCAAGACTCCAGGCCCCCGGCGACACTGCCGCGACGCGCGTTGCGCAAAGCGCCGACTATTGATCGCGATTGGGCCACTCATTGAATGGATCGCTTGGTAATTGGCGAAGCGTGGGGCGTGAGGGGCGTGACGGGGCGTGGCCGCGAGGGCGTCAGTGCGTTCCTTCCGGCCTCCTGGCTGAGTGTGGCTTCCCTCGGGCAGTGGACGAGGCACCGACTGCATGTCGTTTTTCGCCCAGGCCTGCCACTAGCCCCTGCCTGCACGCATGTGGTCGGTCACGCTAAAGCTTTGCTCGACGATCATTATTTGACAGTGTGTCTACGCGGTGGACTCCGCCCGACTCGGCCTGCGAAGATGCCCAGCCAACAGGGGGTGGGGGTGTTGACGCTCGGCACGGCAAGGCACGGCAAGGTGCCGCGGCGTGCAATCAGCCGGACCATTGTCTGCGTGCGTCTCTCTCCCTCTCCCGGATGAGGTAACTGGAAGTGATGCACCTGTCGCTCTCTGTCTGTCTCTAGCGCGAGCGACTCTCTAGGCGGCCGGCTGGCGGCCGGGCAGTGCTGCATTGGATGCCTATGTCGCTGGCGCCACCGCCCGTCCGAATGCAGGCTGGCGAGGCTGTGCCATATCCGGCGAGGTTCTAGGAAACGCCACCGGGCACGCGTCGCGCCATGCCTACGAGCCGGCCACCAGCGTTACCACCAGGCAACGCAGCGCAGGGCGTCGAGAAGTGCCTCATTTAGGCCTCTCCCCCTCTCGTGTCCATCGGCGCGCAGTGGGCTGGAAGACCGGTCGAGGCGGCCAAAATTCTAGAGAGGTTTTCAGTTCGGATGGAACTCGAACCGAACGTGTGACCCCAGCAATGGATTGCTCTCCGAACGAGGAATCCATTGGTGGGGTCACACGTTCGGCTCGAGTCTCATTGAGCGACTCTGGAGCTCAAAACGCGTCTAGAATTTTGGTCGCCTCCTCCGGTCTTCTGGTCCACCGTGCGGCGCGCGCCCCTCCCTCCCCTTCCCTTGCGTACGCACGGCCGCATGGCCCGATGGGACGAAGGCGCGCTGCTCCGCGCTGCTCGACACAAGACCCAATAAAGCACGCGAAGCGCGAAGCAGCAGCAAGTGGCGCTGGTTCACGTTATCGCGCCAAGTCCGGAGTTTCAGTGGATTGATGGGCCAGGCCGCCTAATGGCCTCCAAGACTGCGAGTCGTTTCCGTCGCTCTGTCTCTCGCACTCATGGGCCCTCGCCTATGGGTGCGAGAGAGACAGAGCGATTTAAACGACTCTCAGTCTGCTTGCTGCTTGTTGCCGGGGCCTCGGTACAATCACTCGTCCACACTTTGTCGCGTGTGGCGTGGCCTTTTAATCGGCAAGTTTCGCATTTCGCGATTCAAATGCTAATGGCCTCCAAAGCCTTTGGACCTCATGCGAAAAGCAGTTGCCCGATAAACGACGCGGCCGGGTCTGAATCTCGTCTTCCTTCTCAACAAAAATGGACGGTACAAGACAGTCATTGACTTTATTCCATTTCCCCACACAAACCTCGCCAGGGAAGAAAGGCGACGGGGTGCGAGTCGAACCACTGACCTCCCGTTCTGCCACAGAGCGCGCTCCATTGGCCTCTGCCTGTCGGTTTGAGGTTTGGCCACGCGGCCTCGCAGGGGGCGTGGCGTGGCGGGGCGTGGCGGGGCGGTGCGCATCCAGCGAGCGAATTCCCGGGTAATGGAGTCGTTTCAGGGAGCAGCGTGTCGTTCCAATGACTTGAATGATTGTCTACGCAGCGACCGCAAAACCATATCGCCTGGGATGTGTGGCTGTGGCAGGCTGTGGCCACCCAGGCCGAACTGAAGGGGGAAAAGGCAGCCGCCTTTTCTTTCCTTTCCATTTATTTGATCGTGCACACCGTAAAAACAAAACAGGGCAAACTTTTTTTTTTTCAGAAAATTATTTAACGTCACTAGACAAAATTTTATCACATTCGGATTTTTTGAAGCTTTTAAGATCTTGTTTGATTCGAGTGTAAATCTCCAACACACACACATCGCGCGTAGTACGACGGCTGCCCTGGGGCCAGGGCCAGAGGCAGGGAGGCCCCGTGGGGGTTCGTCGGCACTGGGGGCGGTCCAGCGAGTCCGAGGCAGGCGGCATGAGCCTGGAGGCCTGGACCGAGACCCAGTGGCATTCACATTGACATTTCGCGGCCCGCGGTCCGCAGGTCCGCAGCCCTCGCGGCTCGAGCATTTTTCGCCGCGGGCTGCGCGGGGCTGCGGCGCCGCGGCCACGGCGACCCTTGGCTCCCTTTGTTTGTCGCGGTCAATTAGCCGTCGGGCCGTCAGCCACGCTGGACCGGCCGCTGGAGTCGCTGCAGCCGCCCCAGCGCTCCAGCGAGTTGCGTCGTTGCGACGTATATGGAGCGGCGAGTGTTCACTCACACTCCCAGACTCGTAGATGGAGTTGTTGCTGGGTGTGATACACGGTGTGATACACGGTGTGATGCGCGGCGGGCGGGCCCCAAGCTGATTCCGAGCCCCGTCGCTCTGTCTCTCTCGCACTCGTGGGGCGTCCCGTGCAGGTGCGAGAGAGACAGAGCGCCGATGACGGGGTGGCAGTGTCGTCACCGAGTCTCGGGGAAAGGCCCTGCTCGGCCCTGCTGCTTGAAGGGCCCCGTCCAGCGGAGCCGCGCTGCAGCCCGCCACTTATTGTGTGAGTGAGAGATTAATTCGTAATTTGGGGCTCGGCGCCTCCGTCTGATGCTCGCTGTCCACGCTCCGGTCTTGGCGGCTCGGCGATGACGAAGACACGGTGCAGGCGTCGCGTCGCGGTGTGGGAGAGTCTCTCTCTATCCCCGCGTCCGTGTGTGAGCATCGTAAAAAGGAAGGGGGGGGGGCAATTTGAGTTCGGCGCGAAAACACCGTGTGCACTATTACCGCATTACAGTGCCGACGGCCCATCAAACGTTTTGGTTGGCGAGTGGCCGAGCGGCAGCATTTGCATAGCGGTTATTTGGCGTGGCGTGGCGTGGCATGGCGCGGCGTGGCGCTCGCAGTCCTTGTCCTTGGCGGCAGAGTCCTGCGTCCCGCGGCGCCGCGGCGCCGTGCCGCCAAACATCGGATGCGACCGCAGACCGCCGATGCCCCCCCCCCCCCCCCCCCGCCTTTCCAGGTCTTTCCCCCTCCCGCCTGCCCCGCCGTCGGCAGCGTTAGCGTTATCACCGGAGGACGCCAAGCCATGCGTCAGCGCGTCAGCCACCGGGAGGCTGGTTCCGAGGGGGAGGTGCCGTCGGCCTGTGCCCCTCGCACTTGACGGGACGCCCCGTGAGAGAGAGAGAGAGAGAGAGAGAGACTCCCACTCGGAATCGGCCTGCCGTGCGGCTGCGGTCGGGTGACGGTGGCGGTGACGGTGGCGGTGACGGTGGCGGTGACGGTGGCGGTGACGGGGTCCGCGGGCACGGCGTCGTCCGTCGTCCGCGGGGTCGCGCCGGCCGGCCGGCCTCACCGCGGGTGTAATTGATAAGGATGAGATGATGATGCAGACTTACGGGGATTTATGGAGGCGTTGTGCGTGCCAAACTGCAGCGGCACTGCAAAAAAAAATAAATTAGAAAAACAAAAACAAAAGAAACACGCTGCTGGCGCGCTGGTTGCCTAACTCCGGCGCGCGTTTCGCGTTCCACGCCATTAAAAAGGAAAAGAAAATTAGGCGAGCGAGATGCATCAATCATTGCGTCGTTTTATGGTCACCTTTTTAATCGGCGGAACGGATTATGCGTCCGCCGAGGCGCGACGACGACCCCGCCAGTTACGCAACGCGGCTTACTTGGGAATTTTTCGCCATCTTGCCATCGAAGGCACTGGGGCACGACGTGGTCCCCGAATCCTCTTCCATCCCCACTATGGATGCCCCCTTGTCGGCATGCTCTGGGTTTGTGGGCGTCTACACACGTTGCGTCGCGTTGCGTGCACTGTGTACCTACCTACGCGCGCCTGGAGTACGCATACAGGGTACTACACGCGAGTGTCGCGTATCCGTGCCGTGCCTTGCAGTGCCTTGCAGTGCCGTGCCTTGCAGTGCCGTGCCTCGGGCCGTAAATCGCGGCAGATGAGCAGCCGGCCGACGGCGCGGGCCGCGAGCACTTTATAGTGGCATTTTGTGCAATCCTCTGCCGTGCCGTGCCGTGCCTCGCAGACTTGCCAATGTGTGTTTCGATTTAACTTTGGCATTGACGTTGCCAGAAACATGAAGAGCGCCGGACGACAGATGATGGTGGAGGTGCGCGTACCCGATTCGCTTTGGCAATGACGTTCGGTTTTCTTTCTTTTTTTTTTTTTGCAGGACCACTACTCGCGGCTGACGGCGGGCACGGAGCCCATCCAGAGCTCGCTGCACCGCCACCTGGTGGAGCACATCAACGCCGAGGTGGTGCTGGGCACCATCACCGACCTGCCCGCCGCCGTGGACTGGATCAGGTCCACCTTCCTGTTCGTGCGCGCCAACCGCCACCCCCAGCAGTACGGGCTGGCCGTGGACCCCGGCAACGCGGTCAAGATCAACGCCAAGCTGCAAGGTAGGGCCGCGGCCGCGCGTGGGTTCGAGTCCCGGTGGCGCCGCGGCTGTCGAAGATTTTTTTTTTGTTTTTGCGTTCGTCCTTGTTTGAACATGGTGTTTTCGATGCGGTGCCGTCTTGATCGGCCATTTCCTCGCCCCCTCCCTGTCCCGGTTCCCCTTCCGAGCGATCCTCGGCCTCCAACTACCGACTGTCTCCTGCAGCGCGGCGCCTGCAGCCGTCCCTCGAGGCCTGACTTGGTTCGTGCAGCCCTACCTGGCCACCGCCCGTCCGAGTCGCTTGTCGTAGGACCTGCCAGTGGATTGGTCCCGGCGGTCCTGGCCACACTCCAACAGAGACACTCCACCACCGCAAGCCCTGTGAGTCCCGCGGGGCGTGGCGGGGCGTGGCGGGCCTGGCGGGCCTGGCGGGCCTGGCGGGCCCCTCTGGGCGCGGGACGCTTGGCGGGGCGACATCAGACCAGTCTTTACCTCAAATGGCTTTTTCGTGATGATCTCGGCTCGGCATTATTCAGACAAGCCAAGGCCACTGCCAGCAGGCACTACGTACACGCCGTCCTACGCCAAACCTTCGCGTCATGCGGTGGACGCGGCGGGTTCAACACCCGACCAAAACTAATTTAGGTTTTTCTTTTTTCGTTTATTTTTCATTTACCTCTGACGGACCGAGTGGCCGGTCGCGCCGTCCGGCTTCGCTTTGATACCAAGAGATTCCTACTGACGCTAACGACGCGGTTGGGCCTGAGCAAAAATTATTGTTTTCGCTCTAGCGCGCGCAACACACACACACACACACACACACACACAGACTTGCCGCGGTTGCATGTGTCGCACACCCGCACAAACAGCGGCCAACAAGAGGGCAGGACAGGTCTAGCCAAAGCCTCACCGCACCAACACTCGAATTAATTTGCGGCTGATGCTTCAGGGTCGCGCCTCTAAGAGTGTGTGTGTGTGTGTGTGTGCCGTCGTGTTGAGGGTGTATGCATGTGAGGGTGTGTGTCTGTGTGAGAGTGTATATTGCTTGTATGGCATAATCTTAGCGTCGGTCGTATGCTCCGCGCTCCGCCGCTACGTCGCGCTACGTGGTGATAGTTTATGCATTTCTGGAAGGTGAGCGTCGCCTGGGGGTCACCTGCTGCTGCGGGCCTGCAGCGAGCAGGCAGGTGCACTGTGCTCCCGGCGGCACGACGGGCAAGCACACCGTAAAGGCCGTAAAGGTTGCGGGGGAGGTGGCGGGCCTGACGCGTGGCTGTCACAACGATGACGTCACACGCGCCTTCGTGGTTCTTCCGCAGAGACCGCGGTGCGCGCACTGTATGGTTTGGTGTTCGCAGACATGATGCAGGTGGAGCTGAACGCGCTGGCCCGGCACAAGCTGGTGGAGACCAACGGCATGGCGGTGCGCGCATTGTATGGTTTGGTGTTCGCAGACATGATGCAGGTGGAGCTGAACGCGCTGGCCCGGCACAAGCTGGTGGAGACCAACGGCATGGCGGTGCGCGCATTGTATGGTTTGGTGTTCGCAGACATGATGCAGGTGGAGCTGAACGCGCTGGCCCGGCACAAGCTGGTGGAGACCAACGGCATGGCGGTGCGCGCATTGTATGGTTTGGTGTTCGCAGACATGATGCAGGTGGAGCTGAACGCGCTGGCCCGGCACAAGCTGGTGGAGACCAACGGCATGGCGGTGCGCGCATTGTATGGTTTGGTGTTCGCAGACATGATGCAGGTGGAGCTGAACGCGCTGGCCCGGCACAAGCTGGTGGAGACCAACGGCATGGACGTGCGCGAGACGCCGGCCGGCAGACTCATGGCGCGGTACTACATCGCGTTCCAGACCATGAAGGCCTTCATGGAGGTGAGCCAAGTGCGCCACGCCATCGGTTCGCAAGGCGGCCTGCGGGCTTCGCTCACGACGGTTTCGGGACTTGCAGGTGCAGGGCACCGAGTCTCTGGCCGACCTGCTGGCCGTGGTGGCCAAGGCGGCCGAGTTCCAGGACCTGCAGCTCCGCCACGACGAGAAGGCCTCCCTGAACGCGCTCAACTCGAAGAAGGACGGCGCGCCGGGCCTGCGCTTCCCCATCAAGGGCAGGATCAAGGACCGCGACGCCAAGGTCAACTGGTACGCGTACGCGCCCATCGTGGACCTCTTGCATTTTCTAAAAGCAACACTGAACTGTGTGCCCTCGGGCGAGGCTATACAATGAATTCTCTGTTGCAGCCTGCTTCAGGCCCTGCTTGGCGGCCTCCACATCGTCGAGCCCGCGCTGCAGCAGGAGGCAGGCAGGGTGGTTCGCACTGCCGAGCGCTTGACCAAGTGTACGTAGCAGCACGGAGGCGGGGCCGCGCTCTCGCTGCCGGGGCACAGTGTGGAGGCGGCCAAAATTCTGAACGCGTTTTGAGCTCCAGAGTCGCTAAATGGGACTCAAATGGGACGCGTCACCCCACCCATGGATTGCCCTCCGAACGAGGAGTCCATTGGTGCGGTCACACGCTCGGTTCGAGTCCTGTTCAGCCACTGACCGTTTACTAATTTTCAAAGTTTTCACCGCCAGGCCTGAGCGAGGTGGTGCAGCTGTCCGGCCACTACGGCGCGCTGCTCTCCGCCATGCTGCTGCACAAGTGCGTGCGGTGCCAGCTGTGGGAGACGTCCGCGCTGGCCGCCAGGCAGCTGCCGCGCATCGGCCCCGTGCTGGCGCAGCTGCTGGTCTCGGCGGGCAAGACCAGCCTGGCCCTCATCGCCAGCAGCAACCCCCGGGACCTGGAGCGGGTAAGGCAGAGGGCGAGGGGGTTTGCGCTCTCTGAACCTGTGTACCGACTATTACGCTCTATTACGCCACAAATTAATCGGAATTTAGCTAAAAACGGCCTAAAACACACCAAAATTGATAAAATTTTGACAATTTCGGCTATTACCTGACTATTACGCGTATTATTACGCGTGCTATTACAGATAGAGCGAACCGACTATTACGCGAGTGCATACCCCCTCGGCAGAGGGAGTAGGTGCGCGTCCGCCGCGCGGCCCTTGCATTGCGAGTGTTCACCCTCTGGCGCTCTCTGGGCCAGAAGACCGATGGAGGCGGACAAAGTTTTAGAGACGTTTTCAGCTCCAGAGTCGTTAATGGGACTCGAACCGAGCGTGTGACCCCACCAATGGATTGCTCTCCGGACGAGGGATCCGTTGGTGGGGTCACACGCTCGGTTCGAGTCCTGTCTAGCGTCCGCCTTGCCTTCCAGATCGTCAACAGGCTGCCGCCGTTCGGCAACGAGCTGCGCGACGCCGCCGCCGGCGTGCCCAAGCTCACCGTGTCGCTGGAGCGCCACGCCGACAACCTGGGGCTGCAGGTCGACATCGGCAACCTGGACGTGGCGAGCCGCGACCCCCGCCACTGGGTCAACGTGCTCGTCGGCGACAGCGAGAACCGCGTGCTCGTCTGCGATCGATTCCCGTGAGTGGCTGACGTTTGTTGGTGTGCCGGGATGTGAGGAGCCTGTTCCTGACCTTGTTGAATTTGGTGTGCAGCTGCTCCAAGCTGTTCCAGGGCACGTACTCCAACCAGATCGACGTGTCCGTCGTCACGAGCCGCAGCGTCACCGCGCACGTCATGAGCGAGATGTGGAGTGAGTGCCTCTGGCCGCCACTTTCGCGCTTTTATTTTTGATTGTATTCTGTTATGTTTGAAATGGCTTGTTTCACCGACGCCGTCGCGATGGCTTGCTTTCTGTCCAGTCGGCATCGACGCAGAGCAGACTGTTCACCTGAGAGAGCCGTCCCCTGCCCCCGCCGCCAGGCCCCAGCAGCCGCCGGTAGGTCTGCTTGGTTTGCTATGGACTCTGCAGTCTCTTGGCTGATTCCGCGAGAGGCCTCTGTCTCTCTCGCAAGCATGGGACGTCCCCCGTTGGTGGGAGAGAGACAGACCGATAGCCGCGCACTGGCCGCTTAATTCACGCCGCTGCGCCTCATGATAATTTGCCGCGCGTTCTTTGTTTCCTTTTAGAAGCAGAGGAAAACATCGTTCATGGACAAGATGAAGGAAGCGGCGAGCCGCATGGACGATACCCCGTCGTACCGGCTCCAAGCGAACCAGGTCGGTGTCAAGGTCACCCCGCCCCCTCCCCGGCTCCCCCGGCGGCACGGCGCCCGGCGGCCTTGCGGTGGCAACCACGCCGTGCTCGCGTGCCCAGCGTGGAGACTATCGCTCGACCCGCAGGCGCCAAGGCGGCCAAGCCCAGCCGGCCGATCAGCGCGACGCGCAAGCCAATGAGTTCGTCAGTGAGCTGACTGGCTGCTTTTAACTTCAACAGGTCCGCGGCGATTACATGTCGCTGTCGCAGCGCCTCGAGCACTTCAAGAAGACGCCGGCCAAGAAGCTGCAGCACGGCGTCGAGGACGACGACCCGGACGATCCTCCATGCCCCGCCACCGGGGCGGCGACGCTGTCAAGCAAGCCGAGCCAAGCTGCGCCGCGAAAGCCGCCCGTCGTCGTGGTGACCCTGGACCCGTGGGACGAGGACAGCGGGGACGACGTCCAGGACGACGTGCAGGTGGTCCCCGACGAGTCCTGGACGCCAAAGCAGGAGCCCGTCGACGCGATCGAGTACTCCTCCTACCCCAACCAACCCACCATCAGGAACTTCTTCAAGCCCGAGCCGCCCGCCTCCCCGTCGCCTCCCTCCTGCAGCACGGCTAACTTCGCCTCGGCGGCGGCGGACGTCAAGGCAGACGCGGCGCCAGCATCGCGCTTCGACCTTGACGACTCCTGGGACCTGGACATCTTGGTGGCGGTGGAGGGGGACACTTTTGTACCGTGTAAGTTTGGGCTTTTATCCGTCCACTGACGTGGCAAACGGGTTCTCACTCTGAGTGCCTCTTTGTACGAATTTCGGGTGGTCGACATATTTGACAGGTTTCTGATTTATTCGCTGGTCTCCGTCTTCTAGTGGTGGCTTTTGCTTTGTTCCAGGTGTCAAGTCGGTTTCCGAGTCCCCCGAAGACTCGACCCCTTATCCTTATCGCACTGACAGGGAAAACTGGGCGGGCTGCTGGGACCCCGATTTGTCCATCGGGTTCGTTGCGGTGTTGTCGTGCATGCTGTATGCGGTGCTGGTTGCTGGTTCTCATGGTGTAGGTAATTCTGGCTTGACTTCTGCAGAATCGACGCCCTTTTGCGCTCCTCGGACGACGAGGCGGCAGCTGACGACAGCGTCGGCGTGGACGACAAGAAGGCCCTCCTCTCCTCCGTCGAGGGGGACCCTCCCGATATCGACTGGTGTGGGGGGAGGGGCGAGCCCGGGGCCCCCGCACCCCTCGATGCCCCACTCCCCGACTCCCTTGTCGAGATGAAAATCGGCTCGGAGAACAACGGCTGGCTGGAGGAGCCTTTCGACCTCAGCGGTCTGGACATCCCCGAAGACTTGGCGGATACCTCCAAAGCGCACCGCGCCAGTCCCCTGCCACAAAAGGAAGAGTTGGAAGGCGACGGGCCGAAAGCTGGCTCTGGAGTAGAAAAGGCTGGAGATACTCTGGAGGACTGGAACCGTGAGCTGGAGGAGTGGAAGAAGAGTGAGCTGGAGCTCGACAACCTACACAAGTTGGCTGTGGCTGGGCCGGAAGATGGTACCGGAGTAGAGAAGGCTGGTGGAGATACTCTGGAGGACTGGAACCGTGAGCTCGAGGCATGGAAGAAGAGTGAGCTGGAGCTCGACAACCTACACAAGTTGGCTGTGGCTGGGCCGGAAGATGGTACCGGAGTAGAGAAGGCTGGTGGAGATACTCTGGAGGACTGGAACCGTGAGCTCGAGGCATGGAAGAAGAGTGAGCTGGAGATCGGCAGCCTAGAAAATTTGGCCAGTGAACCGTGTTGGCTCGGTGAATTGGACGATGCGGCAAGAGATGCGGACCCGAAAGCAGCGGGAGAAGGGTTTCATCTGCTGGAGAGTGGAGCAGGGCAGGATGCAGCGGATGTCTCGGGGAAGGGTGGTCCATACATGCAAGTCCATCCTGTCGAGATGCAAGTGAAGAGTGACGACAGTGCTCCTCACAGCGGATTCGGGGAAGGCCCGCAAGCTCATTCTACCGAGATCCAGGTGAAGAGTGACGACAGTGCCCCTCACAGCGGATTCGGGGAAGGCCCGCAAGCTCATTCTACCGAGATCCAGGTGAAGAGTGACGACAATGCCCCTCACAGCGGATTCGGGGAAGGCCCGCAAGCTCATTCTACCGAGATCCAGGTGAAGAGTGACGACAGTGCTTCCGACATTCGATTGGAAGAAGAATTGCAATTATGTTCCACCGAGATCCCGCGAGTAAAGAGTGATGCCACTCACAGCACATTGGGAGAAGACGTGCAAGTCCATACTACCGAGATTCAAGTGATGAGTGACGAGGAGGGTGTACCGATGGAGGAAGTGGTCCCCTGTCCGCAGGCTGAAGAGTGCTGTCAAGAAGAGAGTGGCCAAGATGCAGGTCCGAGACCAGTGGCATCCGGAGAGTGCTGTCAAGAAGAGAGTGGCCAAGATGGGAGTCCGAGACCAGTGGCATCCGGAGAGTGCTGTCAAGAAGAGAGTGGCAAATATGCAGGTCCGAAACCAGTGGCATCCGGAGAGCGCTGTCAAGAAGAGAGTGGCCAAGATGCGAGCCCGAGACTTCCCGCACCCGGAGAGCGCTGTCAAGAAGAGAGTGGCCAAGATGCGGATCCGAGACCACCCGCTGCGAAAGAGACCCTTGAGAAGGCTGATGTCTCTGAGCCTCTACCAGTGAAACCAACACGCGGGCAGGTAGTCGGCAAGGAATCGCCTCGTCCCGAGCGGCTGGACAACACGCCGCTGAAGGAGCAGGCCCACGGTGAAGAAGGCCTCGGCAGAGGCGTCAAGGAGGAGCATCGCGTTGCCAAAGCCAAGGTATTGTATCCGTAAATAAGCCATGTCTTTGACGAAGCGCGTGCTGTTTTCAGTTTTCTGCTTTTGACATTCTATTTCTTAAAAGGTACTACCATTCGACGTCACCGTCAAGAGGCCGAGACTGTTCGAGTCCGAAAGCAAGGCAGCCAAGTCTTCTTCCCCGACATCGAACCACCGAAAAGAGATTCAGGTCACTCCTGCGTGTTCTCTTTTCTCCGTTGCATGGTTACTTACCTGCAGGTAAACTAAATTTCAATTTTTAACTCAGCTGGTGGTACCGGATGGCCCCGATGCAGGCAACGCACCTCCCTTACGACCCGTGCCTCACCGAAGCCAAACGTAATTTAAAATAGCTTTTTTCTTAAAGTTTAGGACCAATGTCATTGTTTGTAAACTGAGTGATTCAGGTTGCAGGCAGCTGTGGCCGCAGTGCGCTCGTCTGACTCTCCCCTGATCAAGATCCGGAAACAGGACCCACAGTCCCAGGGCACTGTGCAGCTCAAAGACGACACGATAGCCAAGCTGTTGGCTGACTGGTCGAGCAGGCCTCAGGCCAAGAGAGTGACCACCAGCGCGCCAAGCAAGCTCTCAAAGGCCATGCCACTGCTCGCTGCCGGGCGGCAGACCCCGCCCCCCGCCGCCCCCATGCTGCACGGGGTGGTCCACTGTGGCGGTGCGAGACGCACCGCGGCAGGCACCGTCACCACCGCTCCTGCCGAGGACAAGCAGGACGACTTCCTGGAACGCATCCTGAAGGAGGACTGCCCGCGCCGCCTGCAGGGCATGCTGAGCAACGGCAAGGAGGTGAGGCCCTTCAACACGGAGCGGCTGAGGGCGGCGGGCGTCGCGAGGGCCGAGAGCTGTGTGTTCAGCAAGCAGCTGGGCAAGCAGCTGGCCCAGGCGGTGGCGCCGACCATCAGGCCCATCATGGACACCTGCAGGGCGCCCGGCGAGCAGGCCGCCTGCCGCCGCGGGCCTTCAGCCACCTCCTCGGACGGCCAGGTTGCCACCTCGGCCACCGGGACTGAGTGCGACGACGCAGAGACGGCGCGAAGGCCATCTCCGTTTGCAGCCCCCCAAGGTTAGTGCATAACAGCACCGCACTGAACCGGCCGCGCTTCATCTCAGACTCAAATAACAAGTTGCTGCGAGGAAGCGTAAGCATCTCTCAATAGGGACTTTTTTTGTTTTTGTTTACAACAATTGAACCACAGAGAAGTCAGCCAGCGGTTCCCCGCCCCGCAAGAAGGCCGCCGTGGCTCCAGCAGCGCAAATGCCAGCCGTAGCAGCGTCCCCCAGCACCAACACGGACCAGCCCACACCGGCCGCCCAGGGCGCCCAGGCCCCGGACTGGTTCGACCGTCTCCTCAGCCAGCCCCTCACGGCTTTGGTGCGCCGCCCCACCGGCCTGCTGGGCCTGAGGGGCACGGCCAAGCGCAAGGGGGACGCCAACGCAGGCAGCGCCGTGGTGTTCAAGAAGCCCACGGTGCCCAGCGTGTGGCAGCAGATGGCAACGCAGCCTCAGGTACTTGTCTCTTTGGTTTCATTCCGTTCGGCATGTCGAGACCACTTTGTGTACTGTGTGCCCCTGCAGGCTCCGCCGCGTCCGTCGCAACCCGTCGGCAGCGCGGGCAGTGCCATGGGCATGCGTGGGGCCATCAGCGCCACCGCAACGCGCACGCCCCCGGCCGCACCAACGCCGCCCGCCGCGGCCACGTTGCCGCCGTCCGGGAGTCGGGGTTCGTCGTGGACCAGGCCTGAGGGGTGAGTGGCAAGGGCGTTCACTGCCGGGGCCTGAACCGGAGCAGGCGCCCAGCAAGGATTCTCCTTTCCTGTTCCAGGGGTCCCAGCCTTGAGGTCCGTGGGGATGAGTTTAACTTCGGCCGTGGGTTCGGCGAGGACGTCCACTTCGCGGCCTTCCCCCGCCAGCGAGACGGGGAGCACAGCGCCCGGCGCGCGGCACCCTCCCGCGGCATGGGCTGTCAGGATGTCTTCGGCGAGTTGGACAACCGGGACGTTCTGGACTCCCCACCGCGCCGGCACAGGCGGCACCTCTCAGACGGGCACGACGTGTCGGGCCAGTTCGGCACACTGGACTCTCCGCCGCGCCGGCAGAAGCAAGGGCGCAAGCGGCACCGCGCAGCCTGGCACGACGCGCACGACGCGTCTGCCTTGCGACTCCCGCAGGCTCCGCAGGCCGACGAAGAGGAGGCTCTATCGCCGGTCCGTCAGAGAGACTTCTCCGGTCTCCTGGACGACGACACTCCGCCCTCGGCGTCGAGCTTCCAGGTGAGGTTCGGCGTCCTCGCGGTAAGGAGAGGTTTGAGAAGGCTTTCTCGTGTAACGTTGGTTAAAATTTACAGTACCGTGACCGCCCATGCGATGATCGCGAGGATGAGCTGAGCTTTGATCAGCGACACGCTTCCTCGTCGTTCGAGGAGGGCGGCCACGAGAGGGACTTGTTCGACGAGGACGGCGACGACGGCGACCTGTGGCGCGAGTGCCCCACGTCCGCCTCGCCTCCGGGGTCCCCCGAGTTCTCCATTCCCCGGCGCGACGACCGATTCCCGCGCCACCAGGACTCCCCGGGCGAGGACGACCGAGAGGACGGCGCCTCGTCGCCGATGGCGTCTTTCTGGGCGCGGAGAGGGTCGCCGTCGTACAGCCCGGCGCCGCAGCGCGCCTTCAACTGGCGGCCTTCTCTCTCCCCCAGGTAGGCCACCGCGGCCACCGCTCGTCAGCTTCGCCCTGTTGCTCCTTCTGACGAACCGTCTTTGTCTCTCTCGCTCGTCGCCAGACTATCCAGGGGCCGCGACGAAGACCCCTTCGCCTACGTGCCGCAGTCCACGCTGCTGGCGCCGCGCGGGGAGGACGAGGACGGCGACGCCAGCAGCGCCAGGTCAGCGTGCTGCACGTCCCGATCGCCCCGCGGAGCGCGCTCTCGGCGGCCGCCGCCCCCGTCGCCGGCCCCCTCGCCGGCCGTCAGCGGCAAAATGATCTTGTGCTTGTCGCCAGCCGAGCGGAGCACGCCCCCACCCAACGTGTCCAAGTGGCACGGCTACATGGGCTAGCCGGATCCCCGACACATTTATTTCCTCAATTCAAATTGACTGTTGAGTTTTAAACTGTTATTTTTATCTTTCGTTTATTTTTCATTTTTTGTTAAAGTTTGATTTAAAATATTGATCCATTTACAGTGTTGCTGTTATTGTTTAATTCTAATGAAATCCGTACATAACTTAGCTTTGAATATTGTTTTACTTTCGATCCTCAAGATATCCTGATTCTCCGTTAACTTGTTTTGAGGTTTTGAATCACCCAGTTCCTCTCGCAGTTTTACGAGGCCCGCGTTTTCGTTGCCCCTGTCCGCGGTGCCCTTGGCTCCCTGCTGCCGCCCCGCCGCCCCTCGAAGGCCATCGTCGTGGTGGTCGCTGTGGGGCGGAGGAGAGGCGCGGAGAGCAGGACTGAGAGATCCACTCCATGCATCGACCCAGGGCCCAGACGCGACCGGGAGCGCTTTCACAGCTTATGCCTGATAATGCCGTCCGAGCCTCCTCTTCGGCTGCTTGGGCGCGAGGCTTGGGCGCGAGGCCAGACGAGGCTGAGCGCCATGCCCGTCCACACGGGAGGGCGCGGCGGACTCCGGCGCAGCATGCAGGTCTGCGTCGTGCTGGCCGTGGCCATGACCAAGGCCATGACCCTGCCCGTGGCGCTTGGCCGTGACGACGCGTGGCAGTTCGAGCAGCGCCTGGACCGGGACGGCGTGGTGGTGCTGCGCTGGAACGCGCTGGACAAGCTGGACGCCGTGCTGGTGCTGGAGGTGGCGGCCCGCACGCGAGGCTACGTCGGCCTCGGCCTGTCGCCCTACACCGGCACCATGGCGGGCGCGGACCTCGTCATGGCCTGGGTGGACGACGCGGGCGCGGCGCATGCAAGGGTAAGTGGAGGCCTCGGTGCCGTACTGAGTCTGCTCGGCTTCGCTAGCTTCGCGCCCGGAAGGTAGGCAGCCACTCCTGCCGCTGCGGTGCGCGGGCTGGCCCGCCCTGCCGACTGCAGGCGTTCACACACAGTAGTCCCGCCGGTGTGGAATGGAATTTGCCGCTGTCTGCTGCCCTGCAGGACTACTGGGCGGACCAAAACGGCTCGCCCACGCTGGACAAGGCCCAGGACTGGGCGGTGGTGGGCGCTCAGGAGAACGACACTCACACCACCGTGCGCCTGGCGAGGCCGGTGCACACAGGCCACGTCATGGACGTGCAAATCCAGGCAAGAATGACTCTTTTTCCCGGCATGGATTCACGAAGCTTCGCGTAGTTGTTTCTCAACCCTGCCTCCGACGTCTTCGACCAGCCGGGGCCGATGCGGGTCATCTTCTCGTGGAGCGGCGCGGACCCCGGCCGGACGCCGCACTACCACGGCAAGGAGCAGCGCGGCGTCAGCGAGGTGTGCCTGCTGTCGGTGTCGGCGGCCGCGGTGCAGCTGGAGCAGCGCTCCCCGCCGGCCTGGAGCCTTTGCTGGAGCCTGGCAGCGCTGCTCCACGTCTTGCGAGCCTGGCGGCACCCATGACGTGGCCCGTGACGTGGCCCGTGGAGGAAATGCAACGGGCAGCCCTTCGCACGTAGAGGCCTACAGTCCCACGTCAGACTTTAGGACTCCATTCGCCCGCTACCACTCCGGCACCACCGCTCCGAGTTGTCGCTCCCGGGGCGCAGCGCGCAGCCGCGCAGCACAGGTGGGACACGGAGAGGCAGACGTTGACTATGCTGGCGGAGCTGGCGGCTATACCCCAGGCACGGGGGATGGTCAGAGCACTGCAGCGGGGGGTATCGCTCGCCCACTCAGTGCCAAAGCCCTGCTTACATCTGTCTCATGCGGATTGTTTAAAAAATTATCACTGCAGTTTAACCTTGAGTGTCGTCAAGGTCTATTGTCAAATCCTTTTCTAGAAGAAAGCAGGAGAAGTTTGTCTGACAATCACAACTTTGAGATTGATATACTGGAAAATGAATTAAAGAAAGGTTTGTTTACGTCAACAGATGTAGCTTTATTATTCTTCTGATTTTTGCTTTCATTTTTTTCATCACAGTACGCTCAGGACAAATGCAGTTAATTTAAGTATCTTGACAGAGCCAAATGTGTTTTCAAATTTTAGTAAAAAATGGTAAGCAGATGCACAAAAATATGATAGTGATAACATTTTATGATGATATAATGACAAAACTTAGAAATTGGAAACAAATTTAATAAACAGTTACAATAATTATGACCAAAATAGGATGCTGAGTGCCATTATGACGCAAGAGGCTGCTACGTAGGGACTCTTTCTTTCACCAATTCTAGCACACTTCCAAAATGTTCCAAGAAACCTGTAAAAATAATAAATCTTAAGCCGAAATTCCTGCCACACTTCAATAAGTTCATTAGGATTGAAATTTCACATACCCAACTTTGTTTCTATCAAGTATACTTGGAAATAGTGAGCGAATGTATGCACACGTGCATATCACTAGCAGTACTACAGTTAATAAACTTTGGAAATTAAAGATGGCAGACTGGAAAAGCAAAAGTTCAATTAGAGGTGTAAAAAAGGAACAGAAAGATGTCTTCAGAGTCTTGTGTCATGAACATTTCGACAGCAGCAACCACTCAGTATAACTAGTACGTATGCAACTCTCGTCACACTATCATAAAGTAAAATATCACACAAACATGAAAAACTGGAGATATTTAAAGCAGTTTTGACAAAATTCATGAACAAGGTGAAATCTTACCATCTTGATGACAATGCACCATAAAACAACAGGAAGCAGGAGGTTAGTGAAGAGGGAAGTAAATAAATTCTTCCAATCAACTTATGACACTAGATTCCAAAAATGTCTACTTGGGATTTATTACCAAAATGCACTCAAGCACGATTGGTATTTGCCTTAAATATAACTAAAATTTGAAGTAAAATTTAGGCTAGTCGTTCAGAAATCAACAAAAACAATGGCAACGTTGCGAACCCGGTAACAGCCTTTTAAAAATGAAACAAGCTGCAGCAGACGACGGTAGAGTACTCCGAAGTCAAATCAAGGTCAAAGGTCGAAAAATGACCTGGTCTACGTCAATATTGCCACGTCAAACAATTAACAAAAGAAATGAAAACTTGTCGATAGGTAATTGTGAGTTAGTCTTCAGGTTGAATTATTCGTAAAAGAGGCGTCAGGAAGTGACGTGACATGTCCCATCTGGGACGTCACCATTTCAGCCGGCTAAAAGAAATGAAGTGACCACCGAAATAAAGGCAAACTTCAAGGAAAGATTTTAATTTTTATAAACTGCCAGGACTATGCGGGTACAACGAGGCCCGTGCACTTCTTGTGTCAGACGACCTGTGACGCGTGGAATTTTCCGGAAGTGAATTTGACCCATCTGCCGCAGTGGTGGACTCCATCTTGTTTTGCGGCCCCAGAATTCTTCAGCTGGAAGGATGGCTGCGAACAATTTCTATGGATTCACACATGGAGGGACGCAGTACGGGTTAGTAAACTTCCCTGATCCACTTTAAATTTTACAGTATCCATTTATTTTCAGTCGGTCAAGTCTACCACTTTCTGGGTCCCATGTATACCTAGTTTCTGTTCGCCTGCTGCACCCGGCGTCAATGCCCCTATCCCAGCAGTTCTGTTATAGTAACCCATTTAATTGAGATCACATTGAAAGATGTTGTCAGTAGGAGATATCACGAGAGACAATCATCCTCATTTTATTAAGGTAATGTTTGCAGATTCAACGCCGTCCCAAGTGTATGCATTAGCCGAATCTTCTCTTAGCTCATATTTTATTTTGGATGTGTATTCTTGGACTAGCCTAGGCTGTCCTTGATTCCAGAGCGTTGAATCTATGCACTGCTTTTTCCCTCGTTGGATTCAGTTATTCCCGGAAACAAGCAGCTTTGCACGGTGTATTTGATCATGCATCTATGTGGGCGTTTGGGACCCGAATGGATGGAATGTTGTACATAATCGATATTTTGCTTTTATAGTCTCTTCTCATCGAGCTACTTTGTCATACTACCCCTCTTTTTCACTATGTCTTAAGTTTTCCCAGATTCGAAGTGTCTCAGGGTTTTCAATCGATCATATTTCCATTTTGTACCTGCATTACAATGCCCTGTCAACCGTCTTCATGTCGCTTCTGTGCTCATAACCTCACTTAACGAATGTACGAGTTTCGAGTATGAGAGCATCAAAGCCCTCGAATTACACTTTGTCACCATGATTCTGTGCATCCCCTTGCCACTTCTGGGCTTCTACAACTTGTTGTATGCAGTTTAGCTCAGTGAACCCAGACAACCAGTTGTGTGTTAAAACTTACTGGGTCCCCAATAATTTTCTCTGTTGCTGATAATTTGTTGAACACAATTGTTCCAGCGCGAGTCCTGCGGCTTATCAAAATGCCCAAACGCCCTATGCGGTGACGCCTGCTGCCACTGCACCCACATACTCTTCACAGCGACCAACTACAGGTTACGAGACTAGTTACCAAACTGCTGCGACCGCAGCTGCCCCAGCTGCATATGCAGGTATGTCATTGTTGGTGTTTACAGTTTCCTGTACCTATAATTCAACATTATTCTTCCTTACTTTTTGCTTGCAAACGTCATGTCTAAAGGGTTGTGCTTTGGTTATTGCTAGCCGTTGGTGCCGGAACCGCTGCTGCGCCCAATTACTCTGATTATGGATATGGCAACCCAGCACAGACTGCGTATAGTCCAGCCAAGACATATTACCAACAGACTACAGCGGCTGCTGCTCCTTATCCAACACCCGAAACTCTTTATCAACGTGAGTGTGAAAGTTGCAAGCAAACCAATCTGGGCTTAGTAAATTAACCCTTGCTATTGTGTTGGAGTGTTAAATTCAGTATACAGCACCACTCGTTCTTTACAGCTCCAGCAAGACAACCAGCACAAGGAGTCCCCAAAGCGCCTGCCTATGCAACCACTTACGGAGCCCAACCAGCGCAGCCAAATGCCACTAACTATGCTTCAAGTTATAACACTCCTGCTGTGGTTCCAGCTCAGCCTAATGCTAAATGTGAGTATTGGACACTACCATTTTGATCATGTTGACTTCTTACTCCGGACAATGGGAAAGGTACATCTCACCCAAACTCATTTGTTTAGCTCACTTAATCCCCAAGCAGATTTTTAACCAGCATAACAATTTTACTGTACTCTTTAAGTTAACTTCTTTTTGATAGGTATTCCATACAAAGCATCAAACATTGATTTTTTAGCTTGTGGTGAGTTCTTAATAAGTTTTTCAAGTGTTTGAACTTTTGAGGTTGGTTTTGCTCTTAACACGATTTTTTTTCCTTGCCACTTATTTAATATGTCTGAAATATTTGTCATTATTGTGGACCTCTCTTCACTTGGTGAACCATAAGTTCAGTTATATTGTCCAAACAGTGTGTTTTGTGAAAGTCATACCGATTTGTCATCTTGTCACGCTGTGTAATTTTGCTTTGTCTTCCAATGTTCTGTTTACCTATGCATTGTGGGACAGTTGTTTCATTAATCCTGCCAACCACTTTGAGTAAAGCTCAGTTCTGTTTGTTCTTCCCTTTCACTGAGTGTCACATTGTTTTTTGTTTTTTTTAAGGCTCCACCTTGGTGCTTTACATTGTGTGTGTTCAATAATTTGCACAACTTTTCTGTTTGGGTCTCTGGATGTTGTTCTGACATTGCCCTTTGGACATTTTTGTTTACAGCTGCATACAGCACTAACCAAACCAACTCAAATGCTGCTTTCACCACCAACTATTCAGCCACTTCAGTGACGAACCAGACTGCACCCAAGGCTAAGCGTAAGTTCTCAATTTTGTTGTTAGGTACTGACTATGTGCTGAATGTTGTTTTTAAAATGTCATTGTCTTTTCAGCTGCAAACGCCACATATTCAAACTATGATGCAGCTGTTTACAGTGCAGCTACTCTGTATGCTGCTCAGCAAACAACAAATCCCTCTGGAACGGCATCTGCTACTGTTGGTCCTGTAGCAGGAACGGGTGTGGCCCAAGGTGCGGGCAATGTTGTTAACAAGTTACAGTCTTCAGGCACAACCAATACTATGCCTGGTGGAAATACATCAACGTGGCAGAATAATTATCGCAAGGGACCTGTCGGTGGTGGACTGAAACGATCATTCAATCCTAAGCAGCCTCCTAAACAGCAGCAAGTTCACTATTGTGATGTTTGCAAGATCAGTTGTGCTGGCCCTCAGGTACAGTTGTAGTTGTGGCTTAACCTTGGCTACAGTTTCTATTGTGTGTTGTAGCACTTGGTGATGTGAGTTGTATTTGTTACAGACTTATCGAGAACATTTGGAGGGTCAGAAGCACAAGAAGAAAGATGCTATGCTGAAAGGAGGTGCAACAACCACCAATAGCCAAAATGCTTTGAAGTGCGAGCTCTGTGATGTTGATTGTACTGGCTCTGATGCTTATGCTGCGCACATCCGTGGTGCAAGACATCAGAAGGTTTGAATTCAGTTGATTAAGATCCAAGTTTCTGTCTACTTTTCAAAACCTTTCTTACTCCTCATTCTATTTTCCATTAATCAGGTGGTTAAACTGCACACGCGATTGGGAAAGCCGATACCCTCGACGGATCCGGTTGTTCAAGGGAAAGTAGGAACCAGTGCCAAGGTCGCCGCATCAAATTCTAACTCAGGTACACCAGCCAGGAAGCCTGTGGCAATTGCCAATCCAACCTCAACTACACCAAAGATCAACTTTAATCCTTGTAAGTAATGAGTGCTCTTTATCCCCAATTTCAAGACTCCCTTAAGTAGTAATGTCACTGTCATTGGTAGCTTCTTTGGTGGCTGGGAGGCTGTAAACTACAAAACTTGTTTTTCGGAAGTGAATGAAGTGCATGAGAATTTCATTCAAATCTCTAAATTGTAGCTTGAATTCTGTTTGGTAATGGTTGTCTCCTAAGTCAATTACATTGGTTCTCTGATATGCTGGGCACTCTTTACATGTTCCTTCTGTTAAAGTTGGTCTTTAGTAGGTAAGTTGTGTACATGGTCCAAGATCATTAGAACACTAACAAACAATTCCTGGCATACCACCCCACACCCTAGTGTACTGTAGTCAACATGCTTAATTAGTAATGTACGTTATGCGCACTGAAGCAAATCCAAAGTACAATCTGTTATGCAATCAAACTGAAGTACTTTGTTATTTTATTCACATGAATGAAACAAATAATCATTGCACCAACTATCAGTCTTTTGATCAAGGTCTCAAATGTAATTCATGTTAAATTTGATCTTATGCCTTTCTGATGTAATTATTGATGATGAGACTAAGGTTCTTCTTCTTGATCTTGTTACAGTCTGCTTGAGTGAGTTCTTTGCTCCTGCAGTGCATGTATCTTGCTGTATCTCAGTCCTTTGTAGATTGTCTTAGACTCTGACCTTAATCTAACTTTTGTATCTGATGTGATGATTGATGACGAGACAGAGATTTATTTTGCGCTTTTTACAGTCTGCTTGAGTGAGTTCTTTGCTCCTGCAGTGCATGTATCTTGTTGCATTTTAATCCAGTGTTGATAATCTTAAACTCTGATCAGATTGTCAATGAATATTTATCTTTTTTGTTTTCTGACATGATGATTGATGACGAGACTGAGGTTATTTTGCTCTCTTTACAGTCTGCTTGAGTGAGTTCTTCACTCCTGCAGTGCATGTATCTTGCTGCATCTTAATCCAGTGTTGATAATCTAAAACTCTGACCAAATTGTTAGTGTAGATTTTAACCTTATTTCATTCTGACATGATGATTGATGACGAGACTGAGGTTATTTTGCTCTCTTTACAGTCTGCTTGAGTGAGTTCTTCACTCCTGCAGTGCATGTATCTTGCTGCATCTTAATCCAGTGTTGATAATCTAAAACTCTGATCAGATTGTTAGTGTAGATTTCAACCTTATTTTATTCTGACTTGATGATTGATGACGAGACTGAGGTTATTTTGCTCTTTTTACAGTCTGCTTGTGTGAGTTTTTCACTCCTGCAGTGCGTGTATCTTGTTGCATCTTAATCCAGTGTAGTTAATCTTTAACTCTGATCAGACGCTGTAGTAACAATTTGTTTTTACCTCTGTTTTTTGTTTTGTCTCAATATTACAGTACAGTTCCTCCTCTATTGCTCTTTTTTGCATGCATTTTCTCAACTGAATGCGATGGATATTGTAATCATGGCTTCTTTTGAGTATGGTTTGAATTCCGTTTACGTATATTATATTTTGGGCCCAGTTAATTGAACTGGTAGAGCTTTTTCTCTTGAAATTTTGTTCGGAGGGTTGTGTCTTCTTGGTTCTTTCTTAATAGTGCTATCAATTTTGTTCTGACTGAACTTAAACCAACCGCTTCCCTTCGTCTGTTCTCCTGTATTTCTCCCAATTTGTAGTTTGGCTCTTAATTGGCATAGTTTTTCTGGTTGGTGTATTGTCTTTCTGGCCCCTTGTTTGTTTTCTTGATCGATGCAAGTATATCTTGACTGATGTTGTTTTTATTCTCAGCTGCTAATTCATCTGCATCTGCTGCCGCTTCATCTTCTGGAAATGTTGAGGCTAAAGAAGATGATGATGAAGTGGTGGACAAAGATGTCCAGCCTGTTGGTCAAGATTATATTGAAGAAATAAAAAATGAAGAAGGTATGTTTTTATGATAAGACACAGAACCTCTTGCACAAATACGCAACCTTGTGTGTGGGCCCTTCTCTCCCTCTCTAACGAAAGTACTTTACTTGTCCGTTTTACAGGGAAATCTACTTCATTCATGTGCAAACTATGCGAGTGTCGTTTTAACGATCCCAATGCTAAAGAAATGCACATGAAAGGCCGTAGACATAGACTTCAGTACAAGAAAAAAGTAAATCCTGAGTTAGTGGTTGAAGTGAAGCCTTCTCTGCGGCAACGGAAGGGAATGGAAGACAAGCAGCGTCGTATGCATTTCAGAGAGGACTTCATGAGGCGACGCGATGAAGAAAGGATGCGTGGGTGAGTTGAGATGAACTATAAATGTCTTTGTTTGTTTTATTTATTCTGTTTTAACTTACTTTATTTGTTCTGATTTCAGTATGATGATGGAAGAGGAAGAACGTATTTACTGGGAGGAGAGACGGAGGTATGAAGAGGAAATGGAGTACTTCGAATGGGTCCGGCGGTTCGGTCGGGATCATCGTCCTCTAGGTCCTCCGGGTCCTCCCAGATTCGGTCCCCCGGGTCCTGGCATGATGATGCCTCCCGTGAGTGTTCTGCCTCACCTAAATTAGATGGCCTCACCCGAATCTACCTATTTAACACCTTGCATTATCCCTTACAGTTCTTTGGGCCAAACCCGATGAGACGCCCAGATTCAATGGAAGACCGCCATGTTCTGGCTCGTCACACGGAAATATATCCTAGCGAAGAGGAGTTGTCCGCTGTACACAAGATTGTCTCACATTCGGAGAAAGCTCTGAAGTTTGTATCAGATCACTTGACTGAAATTTCTCAAGCTGCTGGAACCAAACCTGGTGCAAAGCCGGCAACAAAACCAGTCCAAGCTAAAACCCCTACCATTGTTAAAACAGGTACGCATTATTGATATGTCGTTGGGCTAAATATTATCTAATCTCAGAAGCAATCCTAATAAGGTTTCTTTTCTGTATTCAAAAAATGTGTAGAATCGGGTGCATCTCCATCTACATCTGCACCTGCTCCAAGCACCCCTCCAACACCAACCGCCACTCCAGCAGCGTCCGCTGGCACACCACCTGCAACCAAACCTGTTGTTAAGAAAGAAGATGGCAGTGATGGCAGTCTGTAAGTGCCGTGGTTCGTGCCATCTCTCCAGTTCTTCGCTTCATGTTTTGTTTTGTTTTTTAAATTTGTTTTCTTGTTTCCTGTGTCTCAGGTTTTCATTCCAGCAAGGAAAGGAAGAGGGATCAACTGGGCATCGCTTGCTGAAAGGCGTGATGCGCGTCGGCTCTCTTGCAAAGGGCCTTTTGCTTCATGGTGACACTTCTGTGAACCTTGTTGTCTTGTGTGCAGAGAAACCAACAAGGACTTTGCTGTATAAGGTTTCAGAGAACCTGCCAAAGCAGCTGCTGGTTAGTCATAATGTCTGACTCACTACATCAGGGTTTTGGTCTTGGTTTTGCTCCAACTGTTTTCTTGTTTGTACAGATTGTTGCTCCAGAAGACAAATACAGTGTGAAATGCAAGCCTGAAGATGCTGCTCTCGTTGTGATTGGCGCCAAAGAGCCTCACATTACTGTTACCATCACTCTAACTTCACCCGTCATGAGGGAACAGCTTGTGGCCCCTACTCCCAGTGAGGCAGCTGGTGGTAAGACTAGTGGTTGGGATTCTGTCAAATCGAACTGGTCACTGGTTCTTTCTTCCCTTTTTTACCTCTCTTTTCTTAAATGAGAGGAGTAAGGACTTGTCTTTTATAATGTAGTGCGATCACAAAACGTGAGCTTTATTTTATCTTCATTGGTTTGACATTTTGAATTTTTTCTGGGGTATACCAGGAAAGTATCAGTGGCAATGTTCTAAGGAATAGTAAAATTCTGTGGAAAGTTTATTTTCTGAGCTTTTTCTATGTGGCTGCTCCTGTGTATTATGTCTAGCCTTTCTTCTTGTCTTAACCGCTGTTAGTTACATATTCACTTTTCTTTATTTCATGTGAGCTTGTGCGGCCTTGTGAAAAGTAATGATGGTATACATGGTCATGTAAATTCTTTTCACATGAGCAGTACAAGTTTTGTCTATTTAATTTTATTTTAAGAGATATTGCTTGGGTTGCCCTAGTTGTTTGCATTTGAATTCATTTAATTGTGACTGCAATGTGCAGTGTAAACTGCTTTCATACTTTACACTGTATATTCTGTTAAGGTTTCTAGGTGTGCCTCCAAACAACTCGAGCTGGGGATTCAAGGATTTTTGATCATGAGGGTGTAAAGCAGTCCCCCATCAAATCTGTTCTTCCCACACAATGTTTATTAATGAGTGACATATGTGTCTTAAATTTCCTCACTTTCTTGAATTAGCAAAGAGAGAGCTTGGGTCAGTTTTTAACTTTGTGGGAATGAACCATGATGTGGGATTGCTCTACCAATGTGGTGATGGATGGAGAAGGGCCAAGCACCACTGGTTCTTGGTGTATGGTGCTTCTGCCCATGGTCAAACACCCTTAGCCTGCGTGTCTGCGTGTCTGCGGGCATTGACTCAGTTTGTTTGTCCGGTCAGACTCAGCTCAGGCAGCGATTGTGAAGGTGAAGGACCCCCCAGACGTGCTGGACAAGCAGAAATGTTTGGAGGCTCTTGCCGCCCTGAGGCATGCCAAGTGGTTCCAGGTATCTTACTACTTCCTGCCTCACCATGGTTGACTACTCACTTTTCAGCCTTGTTTAGTCAACAATAGTTAATCCTTAAGCTTAGTTCAGCCTTGTCATTGTTGGTTTCTTTTCACTCCTTTTAAAAAAAGCAAACTTATCTTATTATATTTTAAATCACCTCATGATGCACTATTGCTCTTTGCCATGTTTTCAATTCATGCATAAATTCAGTTCTAGACGTAGGTTTTTAGTTGAACTAAGCTTATGGAAATGTCAGTTATTAATTGCGAAATTGGCACACATTAGCTAGTTACACAAATTTCTATTAACCTTATTATAAGATAGTGTCATGATTTTGTCTGTGGCTTGGTAACAGCACATTCTGATTTTACTATGAAGGCAGCTTACCATAGTTGCTATCTTTTTTCAATTACCAATTTTCCTGATGATTTTTTTTTAAATACATTTTTTGGTCTCTTGCATTATTACCTTTATTATGGAAGACATGTGTTCTGCTTGTGCAGTTGTGTGTCATTTTCTTCATTGTATTCTTATTTGAATACCCCCCATGCCACTGTTGCTTTTTATCTCCTCAATACTTGAGGAGTTGTATTGGAGCAGTGTTGCTTACTTTCACAAGGCTGAAAGGTAGATAAAAAAAGCAAGCCATGATAATGCAGTCGCACTTTCGCACTGTCTCTGAATTTTTGTTGAACACTGCATGGTGTTACAAAGGAAGCAATTGTCTTCCATATAACAGATTTTTTTTGTAAGGCATTTGCCAGTATGTTTGCGTAAAATTAAATGCAGTAACTTTTATATGAACGGTGCGAAGTTGAGTGGAGAGTAAGTTGAGGGTGTAGGACTCGAAAGTTAATGCTTTGACTTTTTCTAATGGATTTTCACAATAATTTCAGGCTAGAGCAACACAGCTTCAGAGTTGCGTGATGATTATTCGCATACTACGAGACTTGTGTCAGAGAGTTCCCACCTGGGCGCCTCTTCACAATTGGGTATGCATCTCTGGCCACTGTTGATTAAGTTACATATAGGAAGGATCTACTTATCTTAATCTTATCTTTTTTCTTAGCCGATGGAACTTCTTGTTGAAAAAGTACTAAGTTCATCACCACCTCCACTAAGTCCAGGAGAAGCACTAAGAAGAGTCATGGAAGCTTTAGCATCAGGCATCATGCTGCCTGGAGGCCCAGGATTGATGGATCCATGTGAGAAGGAACCAGTCGATGCTGCAGGCTTGTTGAACGCCCAGCAACGGGAAGATATCACTGCTTCAGCACAGGTTTGTTCAAGAAAGTGTTAAAAAATTAAACATCTTGGAAACTTTTTAAAATTTTTATCTTGGCAAATTATCTTCTTTCAGCATGCCCTTCGTTTACTTGCCTTTAGGCAAGTACACAAAGTCCTAGGGATGGACCAGCTACCGCCCAACAAGTTTGTTAGAAACCGGCATGTAACTCGCAAACGCAGAAGAGAAGGAAGTGGCGGTGAAGGCAATGATTCAGAGGGTAGGTAGATGAGAAAAGTCTTCTGGGAGTACCTATGCTCATCTTCAAATGAAATAATTTTTTCTGTTCTGTTTCAGCTGTGGATGGTAAGAAGGATAAGAAGGATGAACCAGTTAAGATGGATACAGACAAATAGAATAATTTCCTTTGTCCAGAAAATTTTATTTCAAGTTGCAATTATTGTGTGTTAAGTGTGAGAATGTGTGCAAATATTTCCTATTGAAATCAAGTTGTTTCTTTACCTTATTATTATAGAAAGTTGTGATTGTGTGTCTGTAACTCTTGTATTCAGTCATTACATAATATTTTGTTGATCTTAAAAGATTTTTTTTCTTTGGTTTGATTAGTGCACTTATTCTCATATGCTTGAGCATTTTTTTTTTATTTTTTTTGTGGTTTGCACACTTGTAACCAGCCAATAAATCACTCAATTTTCCCTTCTCTAGAAAAGCATTCATTGTTATCATATCTGAGCTCTTCACATGGCGTTTCTCTGAACATAATGCAATTCCCACTCTTAACCAGAGTGGAAAATCATCTCTTGAGTTTCGTTCCTCATATTGATTGAGTGTATTAATTGACTTAATGCTATTATTTTGGTGTGCAACCAAATCACAATTTCATTGGAAAAGCTATCTATAAATTTAAAAAAAATAAAATGGTGTGGTGTGTGTGTTGTCATCAACTCAAGCATCTGAGTGAATCATATGTTTTCTAGTAATAATAATTATTGTTTTGTTTGATTTTGTTTATTGAGTGACTATTCTTTCACTGAGACAAGTGTGTCAACCTGAATTTTAGTTTTAATGACCCTTGGTGCTCCAAAGAGCAATTGCTATACTTGCCTTACAAATGTTCGTGATGAACGTTTAGTTAGGAGTAATTTGGTAGTCAAGCAGGAGACTTGTCCATGTCCTACCTGAGATTTGAGAGGTTATCAGATAATTCCCTAAACTCTAATGCTTGGAGGATGCCTGACTTCAAAAAATTTCTTATGCAAATGGCAGAGGTTGCCCATGTTACCAGCTATTTGTTTGTTGAATCCTGTGAAATCCTTATTTTACAATTGCTCTTTGCACCAAATGTTACATTTGTTATAAAGGAATTGAACCAAGTGTCGTGTGCAAATGGGCATGGAATAGGTATGATCACTCTTGCAGTGACCTGTGATTTTATGCATACTAGAAATTAATTGTACATTAAAGATATACCTAGAACAAATAAAGAGTTAAAGTTGAATACTATAGTGATTTCTTTACCCAGATCCTTCTATTGGTGGGCGACGCTCTTGCCGACTACACCTCCGACCGACCGACCGACAATTCATTTTTTGTCTGAGATACTAAGCTCAGGGATGGAGGGACTTCTAACATGACTGAGTGGTTTCTGATGCACACCTGTCCTTTGGTGTCAATGGTATGTGGATGGAGTAGGAAAAGCATGGCACTTGAGATATCATAATAATGCATTTCATTTATTTTGACTGATAATTTAGTTTGAGTGTAGACTGCCTAAATATTTTCAAGGGCAGCAACTTTTTAGGTAGGTACATTTAGCTCTGAATTTCCTGCTGAAACAACAGTGCTTGGAAATTAGATGGAACTCAAACCTATTTGACTAGCATCACACAAAAGCAACCATGAAGTTAATAGTTTCTCAACGCACTTTTAACTGCAGCACAATCACCATAATTTGGTACAGCTTTAGAAAATTCTAATAAAATTTCTATTGTTAATATTACATAAGAATTCATTCTTTTCAATCCCCATCAGTCAATTGAACCTGATTGACTGTTCACATCTTCATCACTAGATGCACTCACAAGATTCTGTCAATGTTTAATTTACAAGCAGAACAAAAGTGAAAACTCTAACATAAATTCATATTTTGTGATCATAATTTTCAAGAGATTAAGCATTGCAACAAAGGCCATAATGAGGTGATATGATGAGAGTGTTGTTTAACAACAAACTAAGAAGAAAACATTTTTTTAAATGCATGGAAGCAAAGAGGAAGGAGGACTAGGATTTAAACAAATTAAGTGAAGCAGAATTTGGCATCAATAACAATTTTACAGATTTCATTGGGTTGCAGTGGAAAGGACTGCAGCTGCAGCATGCATGCAAATTTCCTAAATCTATCTTAATCAACAAGAAATTAAAAATGTACATGTAACTTCAACATCAACTAATTATCACAGTTTAATAATTTGTCCCTTACAGCTTTCATGGCATCAGAGATGTCACACATTTCATGGTCCATAATGAAAGCATTAGATTTCTCAATCATTGTTAACAGATGCAAAGAACACTTTGTAAGAATCAATCATTACCACACACAAAGAGAGATAAAGCAACCACACTTGGTTTACAATAAAGCTTACCTACGGTGGTTGTATTAAGTTAAGGATTCAGACCAATTTTGACTCTTATTCTGACTGGTAAATGATTTCCACTTTTAAATGTTTTCAAATCAATTCAGTTCCTACTGTTACTCACATTCAAATTGTGAGAAGCAGTATCAGTTCCATCAAAGATGATGGTATTTAAGCCTTAAATTATTAAAATCACACAGCCAGAATCAGAATCTGTCAACATTGTTCAAAATCCTTGCAACCAATAGGCATACATGCGTTTCAGAATGTAACAATGCAAAATTAAAAACTTTGACACAGAGTTATTTTTGTTTTTTAAATCAGGACTAGTAAAGTTTTAATATTTTTGATATGAAGGATGAAGATTCCCTTCCCAACTGGCATTCTATTTAGGATTGATAGTTCATTTTTCTTACAATAAAAATAAAAGACACTTTACATGGACTAGCATTCTAAACAGGCAACAATACCCAAGCATCTTTAAGACTATAATATCAGACTTTGGCACTTTTCACACTAATCTTTCAGATGAAAGTATTGTGTCATGTAAGAGTCTTTCACATACAGGGTCACTTCATCAGTTCTGCTCTTCAAACAAACATGAATATAGATATTTTTCTTAAAAAAAAAAAAAAAAAAACCCTTAAACATTAAGATCTGCCATAATTTTCCTGAAATCAGCTAGGGTGTTGTAATCAGGATCATTATCAACATCAGCAAAATCTCGACTAGAATCTGTCCTGCTTGAGTTGACATGTTTCCGGCTTAGAGCTAGAGGAACTGGAAGGAGTTCGGGCATCACTGAATGGTGCGTGATTAGGGCCAACAATGTGGAGAACTCTTTAGTAAAACCCTGCACAACAAAAATAAAGTATAAGCACATAGAAACATGAAACACTACGTGAAGTATACTTCCACAATTAAAATAATTTCATACCTTGATTTTGTAGCCTTTATTTGTTCTCAAAATAAGATAATGTGCGATTCCAGAGGGCTGAAAATCTCTAGGAACTCGCAAGGACAAAGCAAAGCAGCCCAACTTTGTTGTGCTTTCACGAACCATGAATGCTCCCACTGGTTCTCGTCCAAGCACTTCAAGAGCGATTTCTCTGTAAGAGCAAAACAAAGGTCATGAGAATCGTCCGACCAGAAAACGGACAACGAAGATCGGAACTGGGCTCTGATTGAACTCACCGAGGGATGCCAGCCTGGAACCAGGGAGCGCTCTTCAGGTCGCCGTCCTCTGGCCTCATCACGAGGCTGTCCGTCCGCTCCGGCAGCGGGGGCGGCGTGGGGGCGGCTCCGCAGCGCGCCGCGGGGGCGGGGGCAGCGGCGGGGGCGGCGCTCAGCGTGCCGGGGCTACTGGACGACACTCCAGACGAGCACGAGCTGATTTGAGAAATCCGCTTGTTCTTCAGGTCGGCTAGATCCATGGAGCCAGCGTGCGCACACTGCGTCAACCTGCGGGCCGAGGAAGAGAAAGGTCAAGGCCAGGTCAAGGTCAAGCCAGCGTCGCAGAGGGAAGGCTCGGCCTTTGGCGGACGAGTCGTGGCACTGAGTGCGAGGCACCCACCGGACGTCGATGTGCTTGGGGTGGTCGGCGTGGGCCATGGCCGCCATGGTCGCCATGGCGGTGGCCGTGGCCGTGGCCCGGCTCTGGAGGTGGGCGTGCAGCGCGGCGAGCGGCCCGGCCAGCGAACCCTGCACGCCGTGCACGCCATGCAGTGGCGGCGCGTGCGACGTCACGGGGGAGTCCTCCACCATGTTGTTGTTGGTGGGGCTCTCCACCACGGCCGCCACCAGCGGCGCCACGTCCGAGGCGTCCTCGTCCACCGTCTCGCGGCCCGTAAACCCCATGGCGAGGCGCTGCAAAGGGAAGGCCGCAGGTCAGCACCACGTCAAAGACCCTGTGGACAGTCTTGTGGACAGTCCCGGTGACCGACCGGCAACCGGCACGCACCTTGATGAGCGGAGGCTTGTCGCCGAGCCTGCGGTACGAGTTGAGCTCCGTGGGCGAGTTGCTGTCGTCGCTCTCGGGGCTGCACGGGTTGAGGATGGTGCTGGCGAGCCGCGACGTCGGCAGCGTGCTCGAGGACGCCGTCGTGGCGGGGGCCGCGGGGGCCGCGGGGCTGCGCAGCGGCAGCCCCCGCGTCACGCGGCTCATGGCCGAGGGGGCTGCGGGGGCCGCGGGGGCCGCGGGCGGCAGGGGTGGCGGCGCCGGGGGCGGTGCCGACCGGGAGCTGATCAGGTGCTGCGCCTGGAACAAACAGAGGAGGCAGTCAGCATCAGGCGCCACATTCTTCGCGGGGTGGGGGAGAAACACTTCAATCGGCCTAGTAATAAGGCAGCCGACGGCAAGCGGGGCGCGGGGCGTGCAACACTCGCGGCGTGTAAGTGAAACTTGACGAAGGGGAAAAGGGGGAGGGGAGGGGGCTACTGCGCTCTGCGCGCTCTGCGCGCTCTGCGGCACGCCCAGGCAGCCCAGGCCAGGCCGCGGCGTAAGACAGGTGAGGGGGCTCATCCTCTGAATGGGCTGCACGGCGATGCGCGATGCCCCGTTGCGGCCGCTCTGCCTGCCTGGCGCTGCCCGGCCGTTCTGGTACGTGGTGATTGAGTGGCCAAGCATCCCCACTCGCCGCCGCTCTGCCTGCCTGGCGCTGCCCGGCCGTTCTGGTACGTGGTGATTGAGTGGCCAAGCATCCCCACTCGCCGCCGCTCTGCCTGCCTGGCGCTGCCCGGCCGTTCTGGTACGTGGTGATTGAGTGGCCAAGCATCCCCACTCGCCGCCGCTCTGCCTGCCTGGCGCTGCCCGGCCGTTCTGGTACGTGGTGATTGAGTGGCCAAGCATCCCCACTCGCCGCCGCTCTGCCTGCCTGGCGCTGCCCGGCCGTTCTGGTACGTGGTGATTGAGTGGCCAAGCATCCCCACTCGCCGCCGCTCTGCCTGCCTGGCGCTGCCCGGCCGTTCTGGTACGTGGTGATTGAGTGGCCAAGCATCCCCACTCGCCGCCGCTCTGCCTGCCTGGCGCTGCCCGGCCGTTCTGGTACGTGGTGATTGAGTGGCCAAGCATCCCCACTCGCCGCCGCTCTGCCTGCCTGGCGCTGCCCGGCCGTTCTGGTACGTGGTGATTGAGTGGCCAAGCATCCCCACTCGCCGCCGCTCTGCCTGCCTGGCGCTGCCCGGCCGTTCTGGTACGTGGTGATTGAGTGGCCAAGCATCCCCACTCGCCGCCGCTCTGCCTGCCTGGCGCTGCCCGGCCGTTCTGGTACGTGGTGATTGAGTGGCCAAGCATCCCCACTCGCCGCCGCTCTGCCTGCCTGGCGCTGCCCGGCCGTTCTGGTACGTGGTGATTGAGTGGCCAAGCATCCCCACTCGCCGCCGCTCTGCCTGCCTGGCGCTGCCCGGCCGTTCTGGTACGTGGTGATTGAGTGGCCAAGCATCCCCACTCGCCGCCGCTCTGCCTGCCTGGCGCTGCCCGGCCGTTCTGGTACGTGGTGATTGAGTGGCCAAGCATCCCCACTCGCCGCCGCTCTGCCTGCCTGGCGCTGCCCGGCCGTTCTGGTACGTGGTGATTGAGTGGCCAAGCATCCCCACTCGCCGCCGCTCTGCCTGCCTGGCGCTGCCCGGCCGTTCTGGTACGTGGTGATTGAGTGGCCAAGCATCCCCACTCGCCGCCGCTCTGCCTGCCTGGCGCTGCCCGGCCGTTCTGGTACGTGGTGATTGAGTGGCCAAGCATCCCCACTCGCCGCCGCTCTGCCTGCCTGGCGCTGCCCGGCCGTTCTGGTACGTGGTGATTGAGTGGCCAAGCATCCCCACTCGCCGCCGCTCTGCCTGCCTGGCGCTGCCCGGCCGTTCTGGTACGTGGTGATTGAGTGGCCAAGCATCCCCACTCGCCGCCGCTCTGCCTGCCTGGCGCTGCCCGGCCGTTCTGGTACGTGGTGATTGAGTGGCCAAGCATCCCCACTCGCCGCCGCTCTGCCTGCCTGGCGCTGCCCGGCCGTTCTGGTACGTGGTGATTGAGTGGCCAAGCATCCCCACTCGCCGCCGCTCTGCCTGCCTGGCGCTGCCCGGCCGTTCTGGTACGTGGTGATTGAGTGGCCAAGCATCCCCACTCGCCGCCGCTCTGCCTGCCTGGCGCTGCCCGGCCGTTCTGGGACGTGGTGATTGAGTGGCCAAGCATCCCCACTCGCCGCCGCTCTGCCTGCCTGGCGCTGCCCGGCCGTTCTGGTACGTGGTGATTGAGTGGCCAAGCATCCCCACTCGCCGCCGCCTGCCTGCCTGGCGCTGCCCGGCCGTTCTGGTACGTGGTGATTGAGTGGCCAAGCATCCCCACTCGCCGCCGCTCTGCCTGCCTGGCGCTGCCCGGCCGTTCTGGTACGTGGTGATTGAGTGGCCAAGCATCCCCACTCGCCGCCGCTCTGCCTGCCTGGCGCTGCCCGGCCGTTCTGGTACGTGGTGATTGAGTGGCCAAGCATCCCCACTCGCCGCCGCTCTGCCTGCCTGGCGCTGCCCGGCCGTTCTGGTACGTGGTGATTGAGTGGCCAAGCATCCCCACTCGCCGCCTCTCTCCCTCTTTCTGTTTCTCTCTCAGCCCGGCTCCCCTCTGGCCGGCCCGCAGGCTCCGCACTGAGCGCCGGGGGGCACGAAAAATGGGTGCACAAACGCGTCTCGTCGCGTCGCCCACTTCGCCCTGCTCCGCTCGACGGCTGCGCGAGCTGAGTTCCCCGCAGTTGTTGCAGCCCGACCAACTTTGGTCGTCGAATTGCAATGCTCCGAGTCGGAATGAAAAGTACCGACTGTGCTGCCCGCTCGACCCGCTCGGGGCCAGACCAGGCCAGACGGCCGGGCTCTGCTTCTGCCGCTGCGCTGTGCTGCCCGGACTGACGCTGCAGTTGAATTATGCCATTGCAATGCGGCACACGTCCCGTACCGCACTTTTCAGCCGCACGGCGCGGCCCTGCGCGGCCCTGCGCGGCCCCATGATGTAATTTCGTTACCCCCGCCCGACCCCGGACTCTCCCCGACGTCATTTACCCCTTCCCCCTCCCCTCGCCAGGCCCCCTATCACAAAGGGTACGCGCACACTATACTGTATCGCGGAACTAGCAAAACGGGACGAAAAAAAGGGGGCATTGGCAAACTTTTAACCGATACTTACCCAAGTATGGCGCAGCTCATTGTTGTTGTTGTTATTGTTGTTGTTATTGTTGACGAAGATGTTGTTGTTGTTGATGTTGGACTTGCCGTGGCTCAGAGTGGCGTCCTGCCGCTGCAGCTGGGCGGCGTACGCCATGCGGAACGCATTGCCCACGATCGAGTTGAGCTCCTCAGCCTGGCGAACAGAAGACACACATCAATTAGCTGCTGCGCGGCGGTGCGGCGCAAAAGGGCAGAGGAGGACGAGCTAAGCAGCGTCCGCTCCGGCGAGGAGTCCGGACGTGTGTCGTTTTCCCGCGTGTCACGCTGGTCCCATTTAAAACAGGATTCACCAGGATGCCGGCCGAGAGCGTGGCAGTGGCGTGGCAGTGGCGTGGCAGCGTGGCCGGCGGCGGGCCAACCAAGAACCAATTCCAGTAGCCGTCTCCATGCCGGTACCCCTTTCGGCTCTGGCCGCCCCAGGCAACGGCCACCGGCCACACGGCCGGCCGCAGGGGCCGCAGGCTGCCCGGTAGCCTTGATGCCGCCCGGGGGCACCGGGGGCCCGGGGCCCGGGGGTGGGGGAGTGGCTACCACGCTACGCCGCTACGCCCGACCCGCCCGACCATACACGTCCAGGAATGGGGCAATAATTATTGTAACGAGGGACGTCAGTCGAAAGGCATCCCGGCGGGAGTGGGGAGAGGGGCCCCGCTGACCCGGGGCACCCCGAGCAGCATCAGCATCGCGCGCAGAAAGGCGGGACGAGACGAGGGCCCCGTCGGCCCCGTCGGCGCCCTGCACGTCGAGTTGCCGGCGTCCGCCTCTCCGCCTCCGTGCAATGTTTTACAGCAGCGAGCCTCCGCCGCCGTTTTCGCGGCCCGCACCGGCACCACCGACGCCCTGAGCGCGCTAGAGAGCACGCCGCGTCGGCGGCAGGCTCCACACATCCTTCAGGTCCGCGGCGGGGCGTGGCGGGGCGTGGCGGGGCGTGGCGGGCGTGTAAGTGATATCGTGGAAAGCTTTTAGCGGCGCAGCGGCGCGCGGCCTGCCCTGGAGAAAGGGGAGGCTCTCCGGCCGTGGGGCCGCGGGGCCGCCGCGAACGGCAGGTGGGACCAGGACGCGCCGACGCACCGCGTGGACCGCAATAGGGTACTTTCGTAGAATCCTGAACCGGAAGCAAGCAGACCAGCAGACGCCAAATTGGCCGGAAACTAACCTCTCTTCGGATCTCAAACTACAGCCGAGCTGTACAAATATTGCTTGCGAAACACATATGCACTGCAAACAAGTATCAAACGACTGTTTATGTTCAAATTTGGCCGATACGTTTGACGAACGTCTCTTTCCCATGTCAAGTTTGGATCTACTTCCGCCAACATGGCGTCTGTGTGCTTCCGGTTCAGGGATCTACGAAAGTACCCTATTGCCGGCCAATCGGAGCAGCGCGGGGCGTGTCGGCGTGTCGCGACACCGTTGGCGCGTTCGTCGCGTTCGCCGGCAACGTCAACCTGGGCTTGGCGGCGCTGCACGGCGCTGCACGCGCCAGGCCGCCTGGTCGGGGAGATGCTATCCGGGAGGGCGGCCGGGCCAGCAGTTTGCTCATGCATAATGCCTACACGGCGCGTTGCTCGGCGCGTTGGCCGCCGGACGATTACGAAAAGCGAGTGTCGTCCTCGCACTCGAAGGGGGCGTCGCGTCGGAGCGAGAGAGACAGCGACGAGGGCACTGTTCGAAAGCAGCCCTCTAGCGGCGCTGGCGGCGCTCAGGTGCACGAGCGGCGCCGGGAAATAATTAAACGCTAAGAATTATAGAAATGCCCCCTCCCTCCCTCCCTCCCCCGCCATCTAACAGAGCCAGTCCACTCCACCTTCATACCTCTGGGGCCCGGCCCGCCGCCAGGCCCGCACTCCGCCGCGGTCGCCCTAAATGGGAGTTTGAATAAATCCACGATTATTCTTTTTTATTATTGTTCTTTTAGACCCCGAGCGAGCGCGCGGCCGCGCGGCGTAGCGCGTAGCGGGGAGGCCGGGCCGGGCCGAGCGGTCCCACCGGGGACAATGGCACATTCCGGTGCAGGACCGAGATGACTCATGAGTCTGTGCGCATGTGTGTGTTAGGGAGAGAGAGCGAGCGCGCACATTGTGTTGTCTTTGAGGTAGTCGTTCAGTAGAGCTGCAACGCTGAATGAATTGACCAAATGACCGGGCGCCGCGTAATTTTTCATATTTTTTTAACCCTTTCTCTAGCGGTCCCCGCCACTGCCTCTACGCGCACACACTGATCAACTCTGAATATGTGCCGCCCCGCCCCGCCCCGCACTCGTCTTGACGCGCCGCTCGTTAGTCGGGGAAGGGAAAATTGGCTTTTTTGCATGTTATTCTGTTACTCCGCGTTGGCAGCTTTACGAGTGAAATCGGACGGCCAGGATAACCGGCATCGGCGGGGGCAGCGCAGCCAGCGCAGCGCAGGAGAGGCGTCCGAGGAGTGAGTGAGTGGAGTGGGGGAGGAACACCGGCAGAAACCAAGAAAAATGCAGGTCTCTTGGACTTGAGCGGCGCGGCGTGCATGCCGATTGGACAACGATAACAGCAGCGGCGGCGGTCGCCCGGCCGGCCTGGCGGTCTCGAGGACCACGACGAAGACGCCGTCGTAGGAGAGCCCGGGGGCCGAGGGGCTGGCCGGCCTGGCCTTTCCAACCAGTTCCCCGGCCGGTTGCTCCGGGCCGCGTCGCCGCGTCGCTGCGGCCATGTACGGCCAGGCGCCGGCCGCCCCGCCTCTCGAATCACGCCGCCCGCGTCAAATTTCGCAATGCCTTTTTAATTGAACGGGTGCCTCCTCCACCTCTCCGACCGCTTCTGTCGCCACGCGCCGGATGGGCTGTGAGCCTCGCTGCGAGCGGAGGCGCCGCCGTGCCTTCGCTGCCTTTGCACCGCGGGGCGGGCGGAGCGCTGGCTAATTGGAACCACCACACCGGTGGCCTACACTGCCTCGAGCTGGGGCAGGGCGAGCAGGGCGACGCGCTCACGTAAGATCGGTGTAAGGTTCGGGCGACATCCCCGCCAACATGATCACCGTGGTGGTGCGCTTCGCTCCGGCGTCCGAGGCCCCGCATGCGATCGTCTCGGCGCTCGGACTCTCTCGCACCTCTACGGAACGACCCACGAGTGCGACAGGGACAGGCGGCCAACCGAACACAGGATGTAATGTGTAACTCGAGTGTGTGCGGCGCGCTGGTTGGCTGGCTGCGGATGCCTGTCACACGCACCCCGCCCCAACCCGCTCCCTGCGCCCCTGCGCCCCCCAGGGGGTCGTGGGGGCCCGGCCCGGCCCAGCCCAGCCGGCCCCGCCTAGCGAGACACCACCGGCGAGACACCACACGTGCGTCGCGTTCCGTCTCAAGGAGGAGAGGGAGGCATCCAGCCAGAAGGGCCGGCGGGCCAGAGGCTTCGCTGCTCCGTCTCACTCATGGGCGCTCATGGGGCCTTCCGTGGGCCTTCCGTGGGGGTGAGAGCGAGACGGCGACGCGGCCGCAGCGTTCGGAGTCGCTCCGCAGGGCACCGCAGGGCCCAACAGCCTTCAAGGGCAAGGGCCCCTTTAGGGTCGAATCTGACGCAGCGGTATTTCATCGGCCGTCTGCGCCGCTCTGCGCTCTGCCTCGCCGCTCAGGTGGTTTAAGGCCTTAGGGCCCCACTGGCCATCTGTCAGGGGGCCGCGCTGCCAGGCAGGTGGCGCCGCGGCGGCCGGTTTAATAACCAATGTCCGAGACATTCGCCCGCGGTCGCAAACCACGCACTCAAACACACTTTGACATGCGAGAGTATGCACACGGGTGCGTGCATGCGTGCGTGCGTGCGCGTGTGTCTGTTCAGGTCGCGGGACCACCACACAGTAGGACTACTCTCCACAAAACCGGCTTCACACTCCATTAAACTGAAACAAAAGCGGGGCCGGGAAGCGAAAAAGAGAAAGAGGACGAAAAGAGCGCGCGGCGGCGGGGGCGGCGCGGGGGTGGGAAGCGTGTATGTACCGCGGTACCGCACCGCATGGGCATAGGGGTGCGAAGGCTTTGTTTACCTGCTGTGTAAACACACGCACACACACACCAATGAATTCGGGCCGCGATGGCGTGCTGATGGGCGCACCTCCGTTCACACGCCTCCTTCCCCTTCTCCACCCCTTTACAGCGCGCGCGCGCGCGCGCGCACACACACACACACACACACACACACACACACACACACACACACACACACACACACACACACACACACACACACAGACACACACACACAGACACACACAGAGAGAGAGAGAGGAACGGACACGCATGTGTTGCGCGGCAAGACCAGCAAGACGCGGGGCGCGGGGTCGCGCGCGGAGGGCCCAAAATAGAGCCTGTCATGCACGCATGGAGGCAAAGCGGGCAGCGAGCGGGCAGAGCGCAGAGCACCCACTCCTCGACCGCACACACACTCACACACAGACACACGCACGGCCAGCCAAATTATTTCCCGCGTCACACGGCGTTCCGTTTCCCTCGACTCGACCGCCGCACTCCCTTCCTCTGGCACACCGTCGCCCTGTCTCTCTCCCGCACGGGACGCCCAGTGAGTGCGAGAGAGACAGAGCGACTGCGTTCGGTCCGCAGTCAGCCCGCTGCGCCGCGGGGCCGCGACAAGTCGTTGGGATTTCTCTCTGGCCGCGTCGCCGCGTTCCGCGCACGGTGGCTGGCAGGCCCAGAGGCAGGCCGGCAGGCAGCTGGGCCCGCGGGGCAGCGACCGACCCGAGACAGCGGCCGAGACAACCTCTATGACGGCGGCCAGCAGCGGCCCGCGAGGCAGCGACCGACTCGAGACAGCGGCCGAGACAACCTCTATGACGGCGGCCAGCGCGGCCCGCGGGGCTGCGACCGACTCGAGACAGCGGCCGAGACAACCTCTATGACGGCGGCCAGCGCGGCCTGCAGCCAGCGGTACGGCGCGCAGCGCGCAGCGTGGCGCCTGGAATGTGGAACAGTCTACGCTCCTCGACTCCGCGACGCTTTCGTGTGTAGCGGTTGTGGTCTGGACTTGAGCTCCAGTCGGCGGCGCGGCCGAGCGTGGCGCGGCGTCCTGTCCACCTGCAGAAAATGGCACACACGCGGGATGCGGCCGGGACGCGGCCAGGACGCAGGCACCGCGGCTTTCTTCGTCA